AATATGATAGAATATTTAATCACTAATTAAGAATATTATAAAGTATCAGGTAACATCAATGAAATATTATTATTAGAACCTTTACGAAATTCAACTTTTCCTATGCGATCCCAAATAATATTAATAATATATTTATGTTTACCAAAATTAGCTGAAATATAACGTTGTATATCGACGACGAAATTCGATCTTTAACAAAAAATTATAGAAACAATATATATATTAATAAATGTTTATAATTTTCATACGATTTTTGTTTAAGTTTCGCTATATGACTAGCAAATTCTGCTACACGATCATATTTTGTTTGCATATAAAAAACCAAATCATGATTTGATATTAAATGAATAACAATTAATTGTTCTTTTCCTGATGTAACACTTAAACCGATGATATCATTAATTTCTATTCCACTTTTTTTTATATGAAAACTTTTTTTTGATCAAGTTTATGAATATATTTATCTGTTAGAATAATTGTACGTTCATCCATTTTAACCCTTTCAGTCCCGGTGGAATGTATTTGCCTCACGTAGCGAAACTTTCTAGTTTTCAAAACATTTCAAGTATATTTGTGATTTTTAGTATCTAGAAAGAATATTTTCAACAAATATTCGTAGTTAAGACATTTGTGCGAGATTGTATAGATATTCGTATGAATAGGCTATATTGAAAAGTGTATTGTGATATGTGTTTTTGACCTCAGAGTTTTCTTCGAAGATCGAAATTTTTGAAAAATTATTGTTTTGACTCGTTGTGTCGTAATGAAAACCTAACTGTTTTGTAAAATATAGTGGATTCCGATTCTGACGAAACCCTATCCGATGAAAATGAAAGTACAATTAATTCTGATGAACTTGAAAATAGTAGTTCTGAAGATAATGATTCATTTATTGAAGAACTCAATTCAAGTTCAATGGATGGTTGGGAATGGAAACTTGACAACTCAAGATTTTTTCAATTATTTTGATGGATACGCATTGCGAAATAATATAATTCAAACAATAGATTCATTCGTCAAGTTTATATCTCAAGATGTGATCAAATTAACTTAACCAGAAGTTTCATAGTATCATCTAGCTGATTAATAATATGTTTTATCAAACTGTAATTCAGCAGAAAAAAATTGTAACTCAAAGGGTTAAGACGATCAGAATAATGATGTTCAAGTTGATAAAGTAATGTTTCAAAATTTTCATGTGACATACGTTGCAAAGCAAGCTTGATTATATTTCTATTTCATCACTTAAACAAAGAATGATGACAACTAAATAAGAGCAACTACGCTTAAGAAGAAACTCAAAGGAGTAAAGAAATATCTCATTTTTCCTTCCAGCCAATCAAATCAAAATATCATTTTCATTTTCCAACCCAAGGAGAAGGAAACCATTGTGAGATCCACTAGCCGTTGCAATCATCAACATCATTGCAACAGTAATAAGCAAAATCATTTGTGCTGAATGAACGACACGTGCCAGATGCTGTACCTGCTTTAACATATTTCAAATATCTATTCGCTGAGCTAGGTGTAAATATGTAATCATATTTTACTTCAACCTAAACAATGAACAATAAGGGTATTACGATAGAAGAAATGCGTTACTACGCACGAAACATATGTCACTAAACTCACGTTGTCGTCTTTCAGGATACCGCCACCAGTCCGTTGTACAACTTGTATTGCCACATGTATAACAATTAGTTCCAGCTAAAACTTGTAGATCTAAATATGTACAATAATTGGATGAATATAGAAGAGTCCTTCTTAAGTACTTACCTTTCATAAAAATAAGAATTTGAAATGACAACAAACTAACAAAAAATGTTAATTTTCGATCACTCATAATAATTTGTTTTAGTTGCAAATTTATATGGATGCAGTATTATTAGTTGCAACGCAAAATATGATGCATTATATACCTGTCGAATCTTATTTCCATATAGATTTCTCAAAAAATTAATAGAGATAATTCTCAGACTGAGAAAAATACAATCTGTTATTCTTATCTAAAAGACAATGAGTGATTGTTTTCAAACTTCGCTAAGTTGAAAAAAACTAATAATAGACTAGGTTTTGCATACATCAATAGTACTTGTGTTACATTTTCTCATAGTGTTTTTTTTCTATTAAACCCAGGCAACGGTGACTAGAAGTGGGAAGATGGATGATGACAATAAATAAGAAAAGGTTCGGTAACTATTAATCTCTTCGTAATCTAAATAATGTATCTATTTGAAAAAAAGAAGAGATTCAGAGATCAAACTCTGTATGTTTGTTTAAAAATAAATATCGTTAGAACTACAAAATATGAAAGAATACAATAAATTGCAAATTCATATTACTAACTAGTTCATATAACTTTTGGAAAAAACTTTTCGAGGGTGTGGGTGTGAGTGTCTCTTCGCTTAGTAGACATCAACACTCACACCACACCGACCCACATCCACACCTACACTCACACCCTCACCCTCGTGCAACCATAAATTCATTATTCGATTTTATTTTATTCTATTTAAAATTTGCGTTAAAATTATAATTTTTCATTTACTTGTCACTGTCTAGTTTTTAAGTCAGACAATAAAATACTATGTGCGGAATAAATACATAGAAACAAATTGAAGGATTGAATTTGTATTGATGAATATTTATTAAAATAAAAAACGATGGAAGAAAATAAAACAAAACAAAACAAAAGACATAAAAAGTAAGCTAATTAGTGGATAATGTTCGATATGGTGGGGAAGTAGTTTATGATTGTGCTGGATTATTATTGAGCGGCTGTGTATTAGAGTAGCATATTCTATGAAAAAAAGATGAAATAAATAACATTATTATTAATCTTAGTAATAATAATAACAATATTTAAGTCAGGCTCTAAACGTACGGTACATAAACAACTTTTCCTCTCTCCATTCAAATCCAGAGCAATCACTACCAAACACTCTCATCTATAACAAGAGACTCACCACGAATAAATAACACGATGACGACCAGATGTACGTCGAAAAAGATGATCAAAAAAATCACCAACATCATTAGCAGCAGCAAC